CGGGAGGAAGTAGCCCCCTCCGCCCTCAGCTCTCCGGCATGGTGCCCAGGCCTGGGGCCGCGCCATGCAGGGAGACCGAGGCACAAAAGACTACCGTGGAAAATGCAGAGAGTAATAAATCGGACAAGCCGGACGCGAGCGTTGGGCTCCTCCGTGGGTCTGGTGCCGCCTCTGGGGGAGGGTCGCCTCATGCCGTCCTTTCCAACCCTTGGCCCGAGGAGCCCCGGTCCGCGGAGGAGGGGCCCCCACCCCCCACGCCTGTTTCCTAGGACTGGGCAGTGGCGGCGCACCCTCCTTCCCGCAGGGCCGGGACGGCATCCTTGGCTTTGGGAAGCAGCCGGGGAAGGGAGGAAGGTGGGAAGAAGGCGGGCTGGCATCTTGCCTCGAGAAGGATCATGGGTGACTAAGGAGATGTAAAAAAAGCATACGCAAAAGTGATCTAATTAAAAGATCCGTGAAAGATTATTATTTTTTAAAAAACTGCCTGTTCTTTCTGGGACTAACCGGGGGGGGGGACACACCAAGGGTTGCGTGAGTCTGAGAGCAGCCCGTGCCCCCCCGGCCCCTTTCTCTGTGTGTGTGTGTGTGTAGGCTGGGGGTGGGGACTGTGGGGTGAAGGGCAACCTGGAAGAGGCTCTTGGCAGGTGTGCTGCAAGGGCCCACGAAGGAAGGGAGTCCAGTCGCTTGAATGAGCCCATATTTTTTTGGGGGGGGAGGCGACCAAACCAAGCTCCGCTTTGCTTGCTTGGGTTGCCATAGATATTGGCAGGGCTCATTTCATAGAAAAAGAGGTGCAGGAGAAAATTAGCGTAACTCATTAGCATAACTTATTTGCGTGTGCCACACCCCCTGACATCACCGGAAGTGTGTCAGAAGGCAACACCCACCGTTCAGGCTCCACTGGACTGTTTTGGATTGCTAGCTGTTGGTGGGGGGGAAGAACGTGCAGATCTGTCCTCGCAGAGGAGGGAGAGCTTTTGCCTGAATAAAACTTGGCCTTAAAGGTGCCACTGGACTGTTTCAGGGCGGGGGGGAGCTCTGCAACTTACCTGGCTGCTCCTTGCTCTGACTGAGGGCTGCTGAGAGCAGGGGGTGGGGCTTGTTGCATGTGCCCGCCCCCTGGGCTCTTTACTGCCGGAGCGCCGCTCCTGTGCGCTCCTGCAGGAAATGAACCCTGGATATTGGGGGGAGGGAATTCCTGTGGGGAGGGTTTTTTTTGAGTGAATGAGTGAGAGAATGGGACCTTCTGCTTCTAGGAGTCACAACTTTCCTCCCAGTCGTGCCCTTTCCCCTCCTTTTTCCATTTCCCATTTGAGCGTATATCTGTACCGGCCCGAACCCCAGATAACCAAACATCTATCTTTTACTTGGTTGGGATGGCAACATCAGGCGTGGTGTGAATGTGACGTCTGCATGGGGGAAGGAAGGGGCTTTTACTTGAATTATCTATATTAAGCTTGTACCCGCCAAAAGTCTTCAGTTCTGACACAGTGACTTACTGGATCTTGCATACACTTCAATAAACTTATCACTGCCAAGAGAGAGTTGTTGTTGAGTATAACTGGATTGGGAGTCTGACAGAGGCTGGCCAGCCAACCCACTCCAGGCTTGAATAGCTGCTGCACTGCAGTTTCCCAAATTCGTGACTTACAGGCCGGAGCTTGCCATTTCTGTCTGCGCCCCCCCACCCCCCCGGAAAAAACTGGGGCTGAGAGGTATCTTGCCTTTGGACATGGAAGTTCAAGTGAGCTGTCTTAGTTCGCAGCCATTCATAGACCTCTCCTCCTCTGTGGTCTTCCACACAGGGACCGGCTTTTGTGGTTTCCCGGTCGCTGGGAGGGCTGCAGATAGAGTGCAGTCGCGACAGGTCTTCCCTAGGGCAGGTCCCCCCCCCCCAGTTTCCCTGCCCCCCATCCCCTGGAAATGGCCACACACACACCCTTCCCAGGCCACCAAGGCGTTTGCAGAATATTACTGCAAGGAGGGGGATCTCATGGGGGGGGGGGTCTCTGACTTCCCGAGCTTTCCTTAAAAACAGAAGTTGAGATTGGAGACAAGGGGGGGAAACCCTGGGAGGTGAACCCACCACGATGCTGTGGGAAAGCAGGAAAAACTGGCTCCCCCAAAGTGTTGACCTCAGGGCAGAGAACTCCTGTGGAAGACACCATTGCCTGCTGGTCCCCTTTGAAGCCACCCAGGGCAGGGGTCAGCTGGCTGCCATAAAGGCTGGGGTGGGGGGGGAACCCTTCACTCCTTGGAATGCACTTTCGATTTCCTGGTTGCCTCTTATCTGTCTGTCTTATGTGCTTGGCCTTGAATGCTTCACTGATAGACCATTGCTCCATATAAGAACACAAGAGAAGCCAGCGTTGGATCAGGCCAATGGCCCCTCCAGTCCAACACTCTGTGTCACACAGTGGCCAAAAACACCAGGGGCCATCAGGAGGTCCAGCAGTGGGGCCAGGACACCAGAAGCCCCTCCCACTGTTGCCCCCCCCCCAGCACCAAGAATACAGAGCACCCCTTGCCCCAGACATAAGAACATAAGAGAAGCCAATGTTGGATCAGGCCAATGGCCCCTCCAGTCTAACACTCTGTGCCACACAGTGGCCAAAAATACCAGGGGCCATCAGGAGGTCCAGCAGTGGGGCCAGAGGACACCAGAAGCCCCTCCCACTGTTGCCCCCCCCCAGCACCATGAATACAGAGCACCCCTTGCCCCAGACATAAGAACATAAGAGAAGCCAATGTTGGATCAGGCCAATGGCCCCTCCAGTCTAACACTCTGTGCCACACAGTGGCCAAAACCCAGGGGCCATCAGAAGATCCACCAGCAGGGCCAGAACTTCAGAAGCCCTCCCACTGTTGCCTAATACAGTGCAACCCTTGCGCCAGACATAAGAACATAAGAGAAGCCAGTGTTGGATCAGGCCAATGGCCCCTCCAGTCCAACACTGTCACACAGTGGCCAGAAACACCAGGGACCATCAGGAGGTCCAGCAGTGGGGCTAGGACATCAGAAGCCCTCCCACTGCTGCCCCCCCCCAATACCAAGAACACAGAGCATCCCTTGCCCCAGACATAGAGTTCCATTTATACCTTGTGGCTAATAGTCATTGATGGATCTCTGCTCCATATGTTTCTCCAGGCCCCTCTTAAAGCTGTCTATGTTTGCAGCCGCCACCACTTAGAATCATAGAAGGTTAGTGTTGGGTATTACAAGTTAAAATTACACTCAGTGTATCTGGGGTTAAATGTTTGTTTGCGTTGTCACAGGAAGTCACATGTGTTTCATGTAACCAATGTTAGTTTAGGACTACAAGCCCGGGAAAATCATCCCTGATCTAGGAGTTTCATTTGAAGTAAAGTGTCAAGGTGTTTTAGCATTTTATGGCTCCTCTTCCCGTCTTTGTTTGCTGTTCTCAAGGAGAACGAAAGAGAAGCCATAAGCTCTCTTCTAGTCTTGTCTTTGTAGTGTAGGGAATTTAGCTCTGTTGTTATTTTCATCCCAGTTACCCTTCCCTATGCTAGAATGTAGTAAAAACTTTCTATTTTAAACACACATGGACTCTGAGTCTGAATTGTTTTACTCTGGCACTGCTAAGCTATTTTATTTCTGCTAAAAACCAATTTTTAAAACCCAACAGTTAGAGTTGGAAGGGACCTTGCAGGTCATCCAGTCCAACCCCCTGCACTCTGCAGGAGCACAGCCGAAAGACAGCCCTATGACATACCCGAAAGGTGGTCGTCCAGCCTCCGCATGAAAACGTCCAGTGAAGGAGCACCCACCACCTCCCGAGGCAGTCTGTTCCACTGCTCAACCACTCGCACAGTCAGGAAGTTTCTCCTGATATTTAGCCGGCATCGACTCCCTTGTAATTCCCACCCATTAGATCTAGTCTTGCAATCTGGAGCAAGAGGGAATAGATCTGCTCCGTCTTCTACATGACAGCCCTTCCTGCAGCAGTGAGTTCCATGGGTTAATGACTCTTTGGGCAAAGAAGTCCTGGGGCCAGGCAGCTGCCCCCACCCAGGGTATGTGGAGGCCAGCCCTGCCTGGTCTGACCCGCTTCACCAGCTCAACTCCTGGCGGTTCCACTAACGGGGAGTACGGAGCGACATCTAACCCTCCCAGTGATGCTCAGCAGACAGGCTCTGATGGAAAGTCCTTGGTCCCATTGATTCTTTATTGTGTATTTCTGGCTCAGCTGGGGTGTGTGTGTGTGTGTGTGAGTGAGAGTGTGTTTGCTCAGGTTCCCCACAGTGCCAAGCTTTGTTGCTTCCTTGCCTTGCTGTGGAGTCTGGTCGTTTCTCCGGATTGGGGACCATGAACCAACGGCGGCCTCCTTTATCGTAGAATGATAGGATCATAGAATTTTAGAGTTGGAACTGGGACCTTGCAGGTCATCTAGTCCAACCCCCTGCACTCTGCAGGAGCAGAGCCGAAAGAGAGCCCTATCTACGTATGTATCTGACAGCCTGCTCTCTGCCCCCGCCCCCCAGCTGACAGCAATACAGCCTCACATCCCCGTGGGGGTTTGTGTGTGTGCATGTGTGTTTCCCCACACGTCAACTCTGCAAGTTGGTTTTTCGTATTAATTTCATTTCGAAATGTACACCATGCTTTTCAACTTGAAAAACAAACGAACCAGCAAAAAGTCTTTAAGGCAACTTACAAACAATAGAAATACAACACAAAACAGCACAACAGCACAACACAACAGCACAAAACGCACGGCCACAACAGTAACCCTGGCAGCCTCCTCCCAGTGCGAGTCCACCACTGGCCCACCAAAGCAGCCACGGTCTCCTCACGTAAAAGCCACCCCCCACCCCCCGCGCTCTCTGAGCTTGGACCTCGTTGCAGATGTGCCCAGTAGTGAGCATGCGCTCTCCACGCCGCAGGGAGACCTTGGTCTCGGGCACCATCCTGCCGTGCGCCTGGCCCCTGTCTCATTAGGCACAGCGTCATGTTCCAAGGGAGGCCTTTCCTTTCCAGCTCACTCGAACCACTTGCTCAAAGCCGGCACCGTCTGGTAGCGGACGGGGTTCGTCTGCAAGGCCCGGCAGGCCTTGCACAAGTGAAGGGACCAAGACGTGTTTTTGACGGGGGCCAGCCGCGAGCGCCACTGGAAGTAACTCTTGTAGCGCTCCGTGTTCCAATCCAGCTCCTGCAAGAAGAGGGCCAGCTGCTGCGCGGTGGGGAAGTCGTCGATGTGGATGAACGAGCCGGGGGGCAAGTAGCGCTCGTAGTTCTCGCGGGGCGGCCCGCAGACCACCGGCACCGTCTCCGCCAGCAAGGCCGTCTTCCAGAGCTTCTCGGTGATGTAGTCCTCGTGCACGGAGCTTTCGAAGGCCAAGTAGAACTTATACTGGGACAGGATGCTGACCTGCTCGGTCCGAGGAAGGGGCAAGCGCTGGAACCCGTAGATGTCCACGTGGAGGTACTTCTTCAGCTGCCGGTAGTACTGGACTCGGCGGGAGGACGGGTTCCAGTTGCTCACGGCCCAGGCCACCAACTTGCTCTTGGGCGGGATCGTGACGTGCCGGGGCTCGGGGAGGACTTCCAACCACCCGTACGGGGTGAAGATGTCGGAGTCCCTCCGGTAGGACATGGTGAGGTTGAAGCGGTTGTCCATGTAGTGCACGTTGCGGGAATGGGTGGGCGACTCCAGATTGAACCAGATCCAGACCTGGGAGGGGGGCCTCGGCTCACGGGGGAGGGACCAAGGGCTCCGGGAAACGTCGTAATGGTGGACGACCACCGCGTCGGCCTTGGGGTACCACTTGCGGTTAGCCGTGATGCGGCAGTCAGGGATGCCCAGGAGCTGCGAGCAATTGCCAATGGGGAAGCGGCCCCTGAAGGGCCACGACCACAGCAGGATGGTGAGATTGGAGGCCTCGGGGTCCCTCAGAGGCTGCGGCTCCGGCTCCAGCTCCGGCCTGGGGGAAGTGGTGTTTGTCATCCCAAATTCGCAGAAGTAGGTAAAGAGGATCGCATTCAGTGCTTGGAGGAGCAGGAAGGTGAAGATGAGACAGCTGCCCAGGGTTCTCCTCTGCCTGAAGGAATCCATGGACAGGCCTGAAAAAAGCAGAGAGGATAAAGCAGGGGGCCCCAACGTGGTGCCCCCGTGGGTGCCACGCCGCCCACCAACATTTGCCTGCCACCCGCCAAACGTTTTTAGATAGTGGGTGGGGGCTTCTGCCCAGCAAGGCTTCCGACTGCCCACTGGAGATCGGATTGGCCATCCAGATTATTTTAAGAAGAAGAAGAAGAAGACATTGGATTTATACCCCATGGCCCTTCACTACCCAACGGAGTCTCAGAGCGGCTCACAACCTCCTTTCCCTTCCCCTCCCCACAACAGACACCCTGCGAGGTAGGTGGGGCTGAGAGAGCTCTTGACAGAAACGGCTCTTTTCCAAGAACAGCTCTCGTCAGAACTACGGCTTGCCCAAGGTCATCCAGCCAGGTGCAAGTGGAGGAGGAGTGGGGAATCAAACCCGGTTCTCCCAGATTAGAGTCCGCGCACTTAACCACTACAAAAGAAGAAGAGAGATTGGATTTATACCCCACCCTTCACTTCCCAAAGGTGTCTCAGAGTGGCTCACAACCTCCTTTCCCTTCCCCTCCCCACAACAGACACCCTGTGAGGTAGGTGGGGCTGAGAGAGCTCTTGACAGACACTGCTCTTTTTCAAGAACAGCTCTTATCAGAAGTACGGCTTGCCCAAGGTCATCCAGCCAGGTGCAAATGGAGGAGGAGTGGGGAATCAAACTCGGTTCTCCCAGATCAGAGTCCGCGCACTTAACCACTACACCACACTGGCTCTTTTTGTTTAAAACATTGTTTTGGCAGCAGCTGCCGGCCACGGCCAAAGGCTCTTCTTCACTGGGTGAGGGGAGGCGTGGCAGCCATTTTGAGACTGGCTACGGCTCCTGCAGCAGCCATTTTGTGGCTGGGCCCGGCACACCATGTCAGGATTCCAAAGGTCCTCACAGGCTCAAAAAGGTTTGGGACCCCCGGCATAAAGCCAAAGGAACTTGCATTCCAGGGAGACGGCATTTGGGGGAACCTCTCTGAAGAATGACGCCCAGCTCAGGCGGAGGAAGCCGCGGCGGGAACGGCTCCATACTGGTTGTCGTGGGTCAAAGTGTGACGAAGGATTCTGGTGGGGAAAACAAGACCTTTGAAGCGTGATATTCTTCACAGAGGTTCTCCTCTGGGCATACTGCTCGGACCAATGCGGAATCCAATCAAGGGTTTTTCTCCCTTTAAAAATGATATTTGTGTATTTTAGTTTTTTAAAAAGGGTTTATATCCTGTATTTCTAGCACTGCTGTCTCTGATTCCATAGGACTGCCAACTCCTGTTTAGGAAATACCTGGAGATCTGGGGGCGGAGTCTGGGAAGGGCGGGGCTTGTGAAGGGGAGGGGCTTCAGCGGGGCCTGGTGCTACAGGGCCCACCTCCCCAAGTGGCCGTTTTCTTCGGGGGGGGGGCTGATCCCTGGAGGCCTCCAGCCACCACCTGGGGGTCGGCAACCTTGGCTCAGCATCCTATAGAAGGAAAAGCCAGCTTTGGGATTCCCTGACCCCAAACGTCACGGGGCTAAAAACCATCCCTGGGATCGTGCCCGGAAACTAACCAGGGGCCCGTGCTCTCAATGAAGGCCCGGCCCGGTGCAACGCCTAGCCACCGCAGGTAGACAGGAAATGCCAACAACAACAACAGCAAGAACAGCAGCAGTAATAATAAAGCACCCAGCTCTCTCGTGTGGCCCGCCTCCTCTCCTGATCCTGCCGCCCGGCCAGGGAGGCCTCCTCTGCCCGGCAGGTGTGCAAAGAGGGCTCTACCAAGAGGCCAAGCCAGGAATGGATCCTGGGGAGGGGAGTGGCCACAGAAGTGATTGACAGGAGGCTGCACGTGCTCAGAGGGGCTCCAAGGCCCTCAGGGCCAAAGTGGAGGCAGGTTTTAGGGGCGGGGCTTGGGGAGGGCGGGGTTTGAGGAGGGGGAGGGGCCTCAGCAGGGGGTACCATGCCAGAGAGCTCCAAAGCTCTGGGGGAGGGGGGACTGGTCTCTGTCACCTGGAGATCTGGCTGCGATAGTGGGAGGATATCTCCAGCCACCACCTGGAGGTTGCCAACCTGCTAAGACAGGCAGGCAGGCAGGCAGGCAGACAGATAGCTGTCACTATGTAGCTCGGGTTGCCAACCTCCAGGTGGGGCCGGAAATTCTCCCAGAATGACGACTGACTTCTGCCCTCTGCAGGCTCCACGCCCAGGCTGGAATTGAGGAGGCAGGCCTGGAGCCTGGGGCAGAGTGAAAGAGCCCCCCCCCCCGAAGTAATTCATGGGGTCTGTAGAGACTCTGTGAGAGCCAGTCTGGTGTCGTGGTGAAGTGCGCAGACTCTGATCTGGGAGAACCGGGTTTGATTCCCCACTCCTCCACCTGCAGCTGCTGGATGGCCTTGGGCAAGCTGTAGTTCTGATAAGAGCTGTCCTTGAAAAGTGCAGTTTCTGTGAGAGCTCTCTCAGCCCCACCCACCTCACAGGGTGTGTCTGTTGTGGGGAGGGGAAGGGAAAGGAGTTTGTCAGCCGCTCTGAGACTCCCTTGGGTAGTGAAGGGCCATGGGGTATAGATCCAATTTCTTCTTCTTCTTCTCTTGTTTGGTGTCGTGGTTAAGTGTGCGGAGTCTAATCTGGGAGAACCGGGTTTGATTCCTCACTCCTCCACTTGCACCTGGCTGGATGACCTTGGGCAAGCCGTAGTTCTGATAAGAGCTGTCCTTGAAAAAGAGCCGTTTCTGTCAAGAGCTCTCTCAGCCCCACCTGCCTCACAGGGTGTCTGTTGTGGGGAGGGGAAGGGAAAGGAGTTTGTCAGCCGCTCTGAGACACCTTTGGGTCGTGAAGGGCAGGGTATAAATCCAATCTCTTCTTCTTCTTCCTCTCCGTACAGCGGTCTTCTGTATGTAAACACATTACGGAGGCAGGAACGTGCCAGTCTTCTGCCAGTGAATAAAATTTAGTCTGGATTTCAGGTTGCCAACTTCCAGTTCCAGGATGGGAGTGGGATCGTGGGGTTATTTATCTGTTTGTTTAAAAAGAAGAAGAGATTGGAGTTCTACCCCGCCCTTCACTACCTGAAGGAGTCTCAGAGCGGCTTACAGACTCCTTTCCCTTCCCTGAAACAGACACCCTGTGAGGCAGGTGCGGCTGAGAGAGCACTGACAGAAACTGCTCTTGAGAGAACAGCACTGAGAGAACTTGTGGCTGACCCAAGGTCACCCAGCTGGCTGTAGGTGGAGGAGAAGTGGGGAAATCAAACCTGGTTATCCCAGATTAGAGTTCACGCTCCTAAACACTATACTAAACTGGCTCTCAGGACAGGCAGGAAGAGAGAGAAGAGATTGGATTCATACCCCACCCTTCACTACCCAGAGGAGTCTCGGAGCGGCTGACAAACCACTTTCCCCTCCCCACAACAGACAGACACCCTGTGAGGCGGGAGGGGCTGAGAGAGCTCTGACAGAAACGGCTCTTTTTCAAGGACAGCTCTTGTCAGAACTACGGCTGGCCCAAGGTCATCCAGCAGGTGCAAGTGGAGGAGTGGGCCTCTACATTTCTCGGCCACCTCCCCACCCAAATAGGCTCCCACAAGGCAGCAACCATTTATTTTCTTTATTTAATCTCCTGCCTTTCTCCCCAAAGCGGCTTATATTGTTCTCCTCTCACACAGGAACACACCTGAAGCTGTCCTGCCCTGAATCAGACACACACACACACACCCCTGGACCATCAAGGTCGGCATTGCCTACTCAGACTGGCAGCCGCTCTCCTGGCTCTCAGGCAGAGGTCTTTCACGTATCACCTCAAACCTGGGGATTGAACCTGAGACCTTCTGCATGTCAAGCAGATCCTCTGCCACTGAGCCACGGCCCCTGTCCTCCATTTTGTCCTCACAACAATAACCTTGTGAGGGAGGCTAGGCCGAGAGCGTGCGACTGGCCCAAGACCACCCAGCAAGCTGCAGGGGCAGAGCAGGGACTCAAACCGGGGTCTCTCGGAGCCTAGTCTGTCACTCTTAACCACTATGCCACTCTGGCTCTTGTCAAAGCATTTCAACATTTCTTTTTTCCCCATGGTATAAATTTTATTTTATTAAACATACATCACATACAAACAAACACAGACAATACTAAACACAAACGGAAAATGGGAGCATTTTGAGTAAAGAATTTGTTGTCCGTACATCTCAAATCGTAAAACTTATTTCTGTGCCACATGATACTGTCCAAACTTTGCACAATAATGTTCTTAAAAAAGGTAAAGGTTTCCTTGCTCGAAAGCCAGTCGAATCTGACTCTAGGGTTGCGGTGCTCATCTCCGTTTCAAAGCTGAAGAGCCGGCGCTGTCCGAAGACGTTTCTGTGGTCATGTGGCCGGCATGACTAAACACCGAGGCACACGGAACGTTGTTCCCTTCCCACCAAAGTGGTACCTATTTATCTACTTGCAATTTCTTGCTTTCGAACTGCTAGGTTGGCAGGAGCGGGAACTAGAGACGGGAGCTCACTCCGTCATGAGGCACACTCGGGTCTCGAACTGCTGAACTACCGACCTTCCACAGCCTGCAGTTCAGCGTCTTAACCACTTGAGCCACTGCAGCTCCTTAATAATGCTCTTATTAAGCTCTATTCTGGTTATAACATATTTCGATAATTCAGTTCTCCGAACCAGTGATAAAGTCTTGACCATGTTTCTTCAAATCTGTCCTCTCCATGTCCTTTCAAGATTAAAGTTAATTTGGCCATTTCAGCAACTTCCAGTGTTTTGTTTATTAGTTCTTCTTTTGTTGGTATTCAACATTAAAACAAAGGGTACGTGTTAAACACACTAAGCAATGCAGAACGCGGTATCACACTTGGGTGGACCTATTATGATGTCGGCCTATTTCCTTTTTGGAAAGATCCCTCCTGAACAATTCTGTTTTCCACTGTTTGCATATTCCAGGCCACGGCTGTCTCTGCCTAAGGGTCTTCTCTTCTGCAGAATGCAGCCACACGGGGGCTGCCACTTAAAGCGGGCGTGGAGGCAGGTGCGGAAGAGGGTCTGATTAGTTCTCTCCCCTCCCTGTGTTTCACTGCAGAAAATAATTCCAGTCAAGCTTCCTTCAGCCCAGTTTTTCCCAGTCGGAGGGAAGCTGGCATCCGGGTGAGGACAGCAGGCAGAAATCTCAGCTCTCGGCCCCCCCATAGAACTAAGGGCTTCTTTTAAGACTTCAGAGTGTGTTTGTGGCAGATATCACATGTCACCTGGAAAGGGAGGCCACAAACCGGCATTAGCAAATCATCCTTCATGTTTAATACAGTAATCGTGTGTCGGCAAGTGGCAGCCAAGTCGCTGTGATCACAGTGCCAGGGGGCTTTCAAGGCAAGGAAGAAGGAAGAAGGAAGAAGGAAGAAGGAAGAAGGAAGAAGGAAGAAGGAAGAAGGAAGAAGGAAGAAGAAGAAGAAGAAGAAGAAGAAGAAGAAGAAGAAGAAGAAGAAGAAGAAGAAGAGATTGGATTTATCCCCCGCCCTTCACTACCCAAAGGTGGCTCAGAGGGGCTTACAAACTCCTCTGCCTTCCCTTCCCCTCCCCACAACAGACACCCCGTGAGGTAGGTGGGGCCGAGAGAGCTCTTGACAGAAACTGCTCTTTCTCAAGGACAGCTCTTATCAGAACTACGGCTTGCCCAAGGTCATCCAGCAGCTGCGAGTGGAGGAGTGGGGAATCAAACCCGGTTCTCCCAGATTAGAGTCCGCGCACTTCACCACGACACCAAACTGGCTCTCAGAGTGTCTTACAAACTCCTTTCCCTTCCCCTCCCCACAACAGACACCCTGTGAGGTCGGTGGTGTGAGAGAGCTCTTGACAGAGACTGCTCTTTTTTCAAGGACAGCTGTGCCAGAACTGTGGCTTGCCCAAGGTCATCCAGCAGCTGCGAGTGGAGGAGTGGGGAATCAAACCCGGTTCTCCCAGATTAGAGCCCACGCACTTCACCACTGCACCAGACTGGCTCTCAAGAGATGAGCAGAGGTGGTTAATGCCGTTGCCTGCGTCTGTGTAGCAGCCCTAAAACTTCCTTGCTGGTCTCCCATCCCAATACCCACCAGGGCCGACCCTGCTTAGCTTCTGAGATCGATGAGATCCGGCCAGCCTGGCCCATCCAGATCAGGGCAGAGACAAACAGAGATGATCTGCTGTTGCCTGCCTCTGCGTCCTGGCCCTGGGCTCCCTGGGTGGTCTCAGCTTCCCGGGTCTCATGAGACTTCAGCCTCCCCGGTTTGCAAGATGGCAGGCTTTCCCTCTGCAGCATAGTTCACAACTGTAGCTCAACTGATCACTGAAGGAACTAGATCCAGGTGGGGCCGCTATGCCGGTCTGAAGCAACGGAACAGAGTTTGAGTCCAGCGGGGGCACCTTGAAGACCAACAAGGTCCACTTCTGGGTACCAGCTCTCGTGCGTATCTGAAGAGGTGGGCCTGCACCTGAAAGCTGGTGCCAAGAATTAAACTGTGTTGGTCTTTAAGGCGCCCCTGGACTCAAACTTTGTTCTTACTTTTAAGGAACGTTCTTCATCATGATAACATTTCCTGTTTCACCACAGGGGGGCGCACTGATCACAGAAACACAAAATCGATTTCAAATCAGATCATGTGAAGGTTTCCCAGTGCAAACTTTGCTATCGGTTGGTGGGCTTAAACGCTTTGTGGTGGAACCGGCCTGCTCTGGCCTGCGGGCTGTGTTCCACCTGGAGGGGCTTTGCCTCCACTCTCATGGAAGCTCGCCGCCACCACCTGACAGTTGTATGGAATTGCCCACTGGGAGGGCCAGGACTCCCAGCTTCCCTTCGAAGTTCTGATGCCTTGCCTCTGTGTTTCCCGCTGCCCAGTGCCTGGTCACCACGGGGACAACTTATGGCCTTGCACAACCCTGGAGGAATAGCCACTTGCCAGCTGCCTGCCTTCCCCCAGTACTCCTTTTAAAATAGCGTGACAAAGACAGTGAAGGTCTATCTGGTACAGAGAACCACTACCACCATCAAAAGTTATAAAGTATTTATCAAAAAGAAAAAATGTTCACAAGCATACTTTTAGCACAGCACCAGATTGAGCATGGAATTCAAAAGAAATGGGTAAAAATGCAACCCTCTGTCCCTCTCTCTATACATGCCCTATCAGATGTTAAAATAGGACAGGCTTCTGTAGCCTAGGAAGTTACAGATCTCTATAGAGTACCCATTACCTTTTTTAAAGCCCCCCCAAGGGGGGAATTTTTTATTTGCATTTCTATAAAACTACAACAGAAATTGGGGAGGGAAAATCTACAATCTATATGAAAAAGTAAAGAAAACCTAACTAAAAACCCAAGAATGGAGGTTATACAATGCTTAAAACATAGTTATTACTCTTATACATTTGCTTTCAAACATGAAGAGTGCCCGCCAATCATCGCTTCTGTTGACAGAGTATCCATTACCTTGAGGCTTGTTCCAGATCTTTAAGTTGAGCACATAGTCCATGGCTGCCTCCCCAGTGGAGAGTCCTCTCTGCTCTCATGGCCTCAGCCCCCAAGGAAAAGAGACCCCCCCTTCCTGCTGCAAGGAGTCTTTATCACCTCTCTTTTCCCCACCCCCTGACCACATCAGCCCAGGTCAAAGAGGATTTTCCTGGAGATATCCAGGAATCTCCTTCCTGACAACTCTCTAGCATTTTACACATCCAAATCTCTGTTCCCTGCTTGGAGAAGGGGAAGAGTTTGACCCACCCGTTATTTCTCTTGTTAGATCTAAAAGCATTTATATGAAGGTGAGCTGAGGTACCTCTGGGAAACAATTTAACTGACTTTCCCCCCTCCTCCTGCCTGTTTTCTGCCCAGAGGGGGGAAATCTTTTAAAACACAATGTGGAGGTTTTGCTCATCTAAAACCTGCTGGGGGGGGGAATGCATTTCTTCACATGCTTAGTAAAAGCTTAGTAAAGCATCCTGTGGTTCTGACTGGGGCTAACAGAAACAGTCCCCTAGCAACCTGGGACTTCCTTGGTGGTCTCCTATCTAACTAGAGGTAACCTGGCTTAGCTTCCAAGGTCTGGTGGGATGAGACTAACCTGGGCCATCCAGATCACGAATATGCAGAGTTAGGCTCGAGGATTTCAAAAGGCTGAGCTGCCCTCTAAGTCTGCATAGGATCTGGTCTTTGGGTCTGGGATTCTTAGCGCTTCCTCTGCTTCTACGGCAGTGAACTTGAGTGGGCCATCCTAGCCTGAGTGAAGGAATCCCGTCTAAGCAAAAGCAATCACATATGGCATCCAAAAAGTCCTATATCAAGTTATCCGTGGCCCCGGCCACACGGGCCAGATATCGTGGGGGGGAGGCGTGGCTAATTGCCCCGGTGCAGTTTGATGCGTGATTACGCGATCAGACGCGCCGGCGGCACACCACGAGTCCTTCCCTCGGTGCTGGTGGGTAAATGAGGGACCAGAGGGGAATGCCGCGCGCCGGCGCAATCACACCACGGCCGTCTGGAGGCAGCCCGTGGCAAACGTTTACTAGTACCTTGGAGGTACTAGTTTTTTAACTTGCATTGTCGGCGGTAAGCCACGGGTGCTCTCCACTTCCCAGATGTTGGGGTGTGATCGCGCCTGGATAATCCGCCCACCATCCGTGCCTCTCCCGCGGCAACTTTGCCGTGTGACCGGGTCCTGTATATCGATTAATAACACATAATCACCTAAGTAATGACAGATCAGGGAATCTAGCAGTAGAAAAGCAAGCAAGCCCAGGCGCACCTTCAAGAATATAAAAAAATTCGTAGTAGGGTATGTGCTTTCGTGAGTCACTGCTCACTTCGAAGAAGGCGCTACTTTAAGGCGCCACTGGACTCCTGCTCTTTTCTCCTGCTACAGACAGACCAGCATGGCTACCCCTCTTGATCTGTCTCCAGGGAACCTAGCAGCAATGTCCAGGGATGTCTTTTGGTGTCCCAAAACCGGCTGTTGCTAACCTGAGCATCCTAACTAGAGCACAGGCCTCTTGGATGTTCAGGAGTCTGGGCTCAGTTCCAAATTAGAGCACAGTCTTCCAGGGACACCCCTACATTGTGGTAACCGGGCTGTAGCCTGGAGATTGAAGCAACACCCAGCTTTGCATTACGAAACCCCTTCGCAAAGCATGACCAAAGCCCATCCACCTTCTCAGAGAACTCCTCAAAAACAGGAAGGTTCTTGGGGTGTGTCAGGATTTAAGAAGAGCCCTTCTGGGTCAGACCAAGCTGAATCCATCAGGGCGACACCCTCATCCCACAGTGGCTGGAGAGATGACTCGAGGAAGCCCACAGGCAGAACATGAGCATATAAGCTCTCCCATATTTTTTTGCCTGCAGCATGGAGAGGCATTGCCTTCATACCTGAAGGCTCTGTCTAGCCTTTGACAGGCTTCTCCTATATGAACCTGCCTTGTCTTGCTAATGATCCATCACAACAACTAGCCACAGCTTGTCTGAAAGGGGTCAGAGGCTTGAACTGTTTGTCCTGCAAAATGAACGTTGGGAAATAGTTCCAAAGGGTGGGCCAGAGACAGCTGCGGTTCGCTGGACCGCGCAAGCACCTGAAGTCCCAGAAAAGTCTTCTTCAGTGAGGAGAGACATGGGAGGCAGCGGAGATATTGGGCAACCTCACGGACCCCTTCTCTCTCACACACTCACCTGGCTCTGCTGTTTAGGAGCAGAACTTGCCAACAGACCAAAAACCACTGTGGTAAAATTAACAATGACACATTGAATGGTTCTATGAGCATCAATTTGTGAAGCTATAAATCTTAAAAAGGTAAAGGTTCCCTTGCTCGAAAGCCAGTCGAATCCGACTCTAGGGTTGCGGTGCTCATCTCCATTTCAAAGCCGAAGAGCCAGCACTGTCCGAAGACATTTCCGTGGTCATGTGGCCGGCATGACTAAACACCAAGGCGCACGGAACACTGTTACCTTCCCACCGAAGTGGTACCTATTTATCTACTTGCAATTTCTTGCTTCCGAACTACTAGGTTGGCAGGAGCTGGAACTAGAGACGGGAGCTCACTCCGCCATGCGGCATACTCGGGTCTCCAGCTGCTGAACTACTGACCTTCCACAGCCTGCAGTTCAGCGTCTTAACCACTTGAGCCACCGCAGCTCCCTCTATAAATCTTACAATATGGTAAAAGAATTCAGGCATAGGCAAAGCAAAGTCCAACATAATCATATCCTTGATGAGCACAACGGTTTTTACACTCATTTCACCAATCTTCCTCATGAGTAAGAAGTCCTATAAAGTTGGAAGACGTCAACCTCTTGATTCAGCTTTCTTTTTTAAAGCAGTACAGCTTCTTATTTGTTTTCTTCTTAGTCAAATTCTCTTTCAGTTCCATTGCAAGTACTTGAATAGGAGTAAGCCAACTACTGAATTTCTAGTCGTAGCAACCAGTCCAGAATTTTTGTGTGGCCACAGGCCTACTTTGAATTTATTTATTTATTTATTTATTTAAAGCTTTGTATTCCGCCCTCCCAGTGGCTCAGGGCGGCTAACATGTGGCAAAGCCGAATTGAATTGATAAAATACAATAAAATAAGCAACATTTAAAACCACAATAAAACCCATACAATAATCAAGGTGCTCTGATCTTCCTACGTAAGTCACCCAAGATGGGAAACAACAAACCCAGTTCAGCGGCCAGCTGTCTCAGTAGTGCGGTCTCCCACAGCGCCGGCTGGCATTTGCTTTTTGTTAGATTTTTTAAAGAAATTCAGC